CTTTAACATTGTATGGAAAAGTGAACATTGACTAATTTTTGATAATTTTGGAAAACATCATTGAATACATTTTTGTGAGATATTCAAATTGTTACACCTCCATATCTGATGACGTGATGACTTTTTCTTTTTATTTCACCATTGAGATTTCAAAAATACTCGTTAGTCTGAAGATATAAAAAAACATAATTATCAATAATGGAGCAAGTCTGGACCTGTTCATAAAAAATTGTTACTTAAGTATCTACCCTGATTCAAGGCGCGGCAACATAAAATATTGAATAGTTCTAGGTGCATTTTATGTGTATGAACAGACAGACAGATATAGATATATAGATAGTTTCTGAATTGCCCAGTTGTTACATAATAAGTGTTTCTGTTAATCACTAATACCTTACCAACAGTCACATCCAATATTGGAATAATCAGTTCAAAAGCATCCATCTAGTATATTTTCATCATAATAGTTGAGAATGAATGAATACTTCAAACTTTCGATGTTTCTTTGAGCATAGCGCCTGAAACAAAGACTGCGTTTGCTTCCACACAAAACTGCGGTTAGTTAACTTCAGCCAATAACTGAAAAACGACTTCAAAAGCAGAGATCGGCTCAGATCAACTTCAAGGGTACTCACTGGATACTGTTCATTAGAGGGGCACCTGAACAATAAAGGGCCGTACAACGGAAACCTCAACTGCAGATAATGCAACAAAGGGGCAGAGATAGCTCGTCATATTTTCTGCGAATGTGAGGCACCGGATCACAGGAAAAAAACAATCCATGGATAATCCGAATTATGTCTAGAAGAATATGACATATATCTAGCAAGGGATCTTATAAATTAGTACGGGGCAGACCAAAAATGTAGCTTCAATTGGTGACTTCAATGCTCCTAATTTTGTATGTGTTTCCGTTGTTGATAACAAGTCCCATGCTATCTATAATATGATTAACTTTTTAAATATGAACCAATGAAATGATATCTTGAATGACTTGAATATGCTCTTGGACCTGATCATTTTCAATATGAAATGTGAGGTGACAAGAGACAGAGCTCCAATGGTTCCTGAAGATATGCCTCATCATTCAGCTCTAATTATTGATTTCAAAAGTTTTCGATCAGCAAAACTAGTTTCAACTCAAATGATAACCAAAACCAGTATACTTTCAAAGGAGCCAATTATCCTGCATTATATAATGCGCTACTTTCCACGGATTGGTCTTTCCTTCCTTCGGAATTGTGATGATGTGAATTCAGCTGTTAGTAATTTCTATGATGTCGTATATAATCGTATTGACTCATATGTTCCTATTATCAAAGTGTTCAAACATAAATATCACAAATGTTATCTGTCTGTTTTAAAATCTGTTTTTCCGTTAACCAGCTGTCGCACCTCTACGAACGACAACCCTCAGAAGTGGAAACTTGTGCGAGATAAGGACTAACGAGGTCTTACCTTTTAACATGAGATTCCTAACATCCAAGATTATTTGCAATATCAAAAAAAAGGTAAACTACGCGAGAAATACAAGAAAACTGGTAATATGCAGTACAATTATGAATTCAAAAACCAAATCAAAGCTGCATATAATATTCATTTGAATTCTATACAAGAATCTGTAGCATCTAATCCTCAATCCTTGTGGTCATACGTACATTTCAAGAATAGAACCTCCCGTATTCCAGGTAGGATGAAATATGACGACTTCAACGCGAACAGTTTGTATCTTATAATGGCTATGATTCTTTTTATTACAATCTTCTATTCTTATATTTACCTGTCGAAACTATCAAAGATATTATAACGATAGTTAGAAAATATACAGACTATATCTTAGACTATAACTCAATTATAAATACATCCAAATGTAAAGTAGTGTCTCATAGTAGAAAAATGTCAGTCATCGAGTAAAATTATCGAGTAGATACATACCATTTCACTGTCACGTAGAAACTCAATTGAAGATCTTGGTGTATATTTTGATCAAAATTTGTATTTTTTCAACCACATTAGATCGAAAGTAGGTGAAACAATGATTATAATTCGCAATTGTACATCTTTTTCAAGCATATCTGCTCTAGTTGTTTTTTTTGTAGCCTACGTGAGCTCAAAATAGAATATAGTTCTGTTCTATGGTCTCCATTCTACAATTGCCATAATACATTAATTGAGAAAGTTTCAAGGTCCTTTCCTAAATATCATTCACTTCAAATCTGTTGGTATCTATCATGATAGAGGTATTCCATATGAATCTCACCCATCTTTAGCATTTACAATAATTTCAATTCAATTTCATATTTGTTTGATATCAATTTTGATTCCCTAGAACATATTGTTGAAACTGCATCTCAGTATTTCATAGGGAATTTTTAATTTTCAGGTATGTTCATTTTATTTTGTTATTCATTTTCTCAAATTGTAACTTTGTAGTTATAAGCACCTATATTACTTTTCAATATACTCAGTTAACCCTGTAATTGTTAGGTGATAAAGACTATCATTATTATTATGTATTTTGACGCACCCTGTATACTCGACTCAATGTTTGTAACATTGCCCCCATTTCTTTCGAGACACTTTTTACACATCGAGGGATCGCAATTTGAAATGTTGAACAGTCATGTTCATTTTTCTCGAATGATGTATTCTGACGCACCCTGTATACTCCACTGAATGTTCGTTACATTGCCGCCATATTTTTTCCTTTAATCTGATTCTTTATTCATCAATATTAATATAACACTTTCGCCCTTCCAATATTTTCATCTACATCTATTATTTTCATAATCCAACCGCGCTCTTTGAATTTCTCCAATACTCAGTCCATCCTTCTCTGTTTTCATTCATCACTCTGAAACGTCGATGTCAGACGACAAAACAACCGCCATAAATACCATTAGTTCGCATTCATTTTCAGCATCTCACATTGGTGTCGAGACTAAGGACAAAGCCTACTACGCCGATGATCTCGGTTCAGGTCTCTAGACGATAATTTTTTCAATTTAATTTTCCTCAGCTGCCGATGACCACAGGACCACGTGACTGGTGCGCGACAAGAGGGCCCAGAGGTGGAGCCCTGAGAAAGCCTGAGGGGTGAGGCGGGGTCACAAGGGGGCTCACGCTCTTTCAATCTCTCCGATACTCATTCCATCCTTCTCTGCATCGATTACGTCACCCGTTTCTCTCTTCCACTCACTTAAGTCTCTCTGAAACATTAACCAACGACGCGCGACCTTGAAATGCGCCAGAACCAACCTTGTTCATCTACTGATTCGAATTTCCCGCTTTACGCGCGGTATCTTCTGATTGGTCAACTGAATGACGGCAAAAGTGGAGGAGTAGGGGTGGTCTGAAGTATGCTTTAAAGGTCTAAGGCCCAATTCACAAAGAATGGACGTCTGGCAAAGACGAGGCGCGAACCTTTGTCCGCATTCTGTGTAAACTGGGCCTGAAGTAGTTGAATCGTTAGAATGAACCTGCTCAAATTTGTACCTGTTTTGACATAACGAATGTCATAGAATTCCTGTAGCTATATTACTCTCATGTATAGAGTTCCGCCGCTAAGCATACTCTGAAACTGCTGGATTACATCCAGAAAAGAAACATCCACCTGGTTGGAGACATGAACATCACTTGCAACCTTCGAAGAAAGGTTGGAGATTTGTCTTTCTTCTATAGACACTTTCTTCTATAGACACTTTCTTGGAAAGTGTTCGAATGACTTGGCACATTTGATTCCACTGAGAGCGGTACATAAACGTGAACGACGGTGTAGGGTGAAAGTTATCTCCTTAATAAACATTGTCAATTGATTGTAATTGCAGTACAAAATAAAATATTTCTGCTGAGTTATATAGTCGGTGTAAAGTGCATTTTGAAACAGATTCATTTATTAACCAGTAAACTGTGAGTACCCAAAAGCCAAGTTCGTCTGAAAGTGATTGATAAGAGAACCATAATCTTAATGATTGCATATTTTTGCTAGGACCAAAGAACTTATCAGTTGATTCAAAGCCTATGATATAACTTCTATAGTCGATTTGGGATGGGAATAGACTATACATATGAAGAATTGCAACGTACCTACTGCGGAAAACGAAAAAATGTTTACAATTTGTATCTCTAATTCGGATTCTGAGTCGGTCAACAAAGAAAATAAAAAGAGAAAAATCCAGTCTTCTCCTGGGAATTCGGATCACTTCGAAAAATAACCCCTCGATCGTTATCCCAACGTCCAAAATATTAGAAGAATTCAATCATTTCACCAAACTGACTGTTATAGCTCAGGCACCAGTCAATCTAATTATAACAATGATGATCCTCAAACATGACTCAACCTCTGAGGGAAGCACCAAACTTTTTCGAAGGTTCGAAATGAATGAACACTTCAATCTAGTAGACCACTATTATAATCTTCAAATAGTTATTGTTCACTATCTGACGTTAGCTATCAAACTGACAAACAGATTAATTTTCGCAATGATATTTTCCAAGTTGTTTCCATATAAACGATTGTTTCTGATGGATGATCAGCCGTTCACCAGTAGTTAATCTCTTGTGTGAGTGCGCTGGTTATAGTGTGCAAGAACCGCCCGGACTTCTGGTGAGTGCGTTCAGACATATCATTTCACGGAACTGTTCATTTTACCATCACCTACCTTTGGGACAACAAAGGGTGTGAGATTTTTGACAGCGGTATGAAGGAACTGCTAGACGGCCTGATGGCCAGGGACAGGGGTGAAGTGATTGGCTTCATAGGCCTTTTACTTGACTGTCTGGGCCTGAGCCCATCAGAGCAGCTAAGAGGCATTCCCGGGTCGGCGATTGGGAGCTTTCTGGCCACCTACCAGGGGTCAGGGAGCTTCTTGATCGTCCGCCAAGGGAAGTTTTCTCCAAAGATACCCCCAGAGCGGTGTCTCTGATACAGAAAAAAAACAATCTTCACCATACAGGGTGGCCCAAAAAATCAAACTACTCAAAACAACGAAATTTACCAGGTTGGAAATCCCACGGAACAGGGAGCTTGCTCTCCCCTCCCTCCGCGTCCTGAGATTCTCCAAAACATCAAGAAAACTCGCATTCCCCAATTGTCGTTCGCCAAAAAACAAGTGGGTTCAATTAACAAAGTTGACTACCTTTCACAAGGTCAACTATACGAAAGCAGTGAACCTGGCTGACGGCATTAAAGTTCAGCCTTCTATCGAGGACTACAGGAGTATGTCCAAATTATTGGTGAGGAAGAAAATCCCTCATCTCAGGTATACCCTTCCTGAAGATAGGCAAATTAGAGCCGTCTTCAGTGGGGTCCGGGAACACCTGGAGATCGCTGACATTGAGGGCGCCTTGGTGGAAAAAGGGGACCTCCTTAATATCAAAATTGAAGTTGAGCCCCAACACCAGAATACACCGGTAGGGCAGTATCACCGATGTCAGCGGTTTGGGCATAGCCAAAGGAACTGCCTAGCTATTCCCATATGCGTCAAGTGCGCCGGCAGATACCTATGAGGTGAGTGCAAGAAGCCGCGAGTAGATCCTCCAAAATGCAATAACTGCCGTGGTTGTCCTGAGTTCTCCAAGGTTCGCAGGAGGATCAAAGAAGCTGCGAATGCCTTCCGAAACGCACCCACACCTTTAAGGCGCCCTGTCGGAGCATCTGGCATACGCCTGGGAATGAACTACGCAGGTGCGGCCAAGAGCGGTAACACGTCCGCCAGGCCGTCCGCGGCTCCCTCTAGTCCTCGTCCGGAAGCCATGAGCGTTGAACTCCAACTGAGAAGAGGTCGTCATAGAATAATCTCAGTTTACAACCCTCCGCGGAATCGTCTACTCTCAGAGTCACTGGATGAACTGCTGATGTCGACAAATATCCCCACAATTGCTGCTGGTGACTTCAACGCCAAGCACAATCTGTGGAGAAGACTCACCAATGCGAACAGACGAACGCTCCATGCGCATGCTGACAGGCATGAATATCGAGTGATGGTTCAGATGAGCCTACGTTTTATCGTGGCGATAATAGACCTGACGTGTTTGATATCGCACTGCTCAGGAACGTCTCCATGTCCTGCGAAATGTACACTTTGTCGGAACTTGACTCAGATCATAATCCAGTCTTCCTGATGCTGGGTGATGATCCTCCTCCCCAGGATTATCGCATGAGATCATCCACGAATTGGGAAGCCTTCAAGGCTCACCTAGTGGAAACACGCATAGACCGTGAGATGCTTCAAACTCGCAACGGTCTCGACGCGGCGGTGGTGGACGTCGAATTGTCTGTGAACAACGCTTTCCGCGCAGCCACAACCAGGACAGAGTGTCCTCTGCGAAGCTAGAATGAGGTTCCTCCCAGGATGAAGAACCTCATACAAGTTTATTAGCGGACTCTCTACCCTGGAGACAAGGTTATGGCTAGCAGGATGGCCAATCAGGTTAAACAGGCCATCACTGACTACAGAAACGAGAAGTGGATCGAGTGTTTGGAATCGCTCGAACCTGGGGATAATGAGCTCTGGCGAGTCATCAGCAGGCTTGAGAAGAGGAAAACCGCCCCCTCTCCTCTTCATGGACAGCGCGGCATCTGCTACTCCCCGCCGAGAAGGCGTTTGCCCTTGCAGACACAATGGAGAGTCAGTTTCGACTTAACGTTGATCGGGATGATGGTCGAGCATAGGTCGAGCGTTAGCGGTCGTCTGCATGCAACGCGCATTGGATGACCTCGAACGCTGGTACCTTGACTGGAAGATTCGGGTGAGACCTGATAAAAACCAGGCGATAGACTTGGGGAGAAGTAATGTTTCTCCAGACACAAGGGTCACGATTTCAGGCAGGGAGATCGAATGGCAAACGCGTGTTAAGTACCTAGGTCTGTGGGTAGATCGCCCACTCACCTGGGCAAATCACATTGATTATATCGAGAACAAAGTGCAGTCGACGATAGCAAAACTGATAGCAACTCTGCAACGATAGCAACTCTGATTAACAGAAACTCAAAGCTCAATCTTAAAAATGAGATTCTACTATACAATACGATGTTCAAGCCTGTCATAATTTATGCTACAGGTACCTGGGGACAAACCGCTCCGTCAACTCTTTCCATTTTGGAAAGACTGCAAAACGAACTCCTTAGGATGCTGGTGAATGCTCCATGGTTCGTGCGGAATGAAGCCATCCGCTGAGATTTGAAGCTGTTAACTATACGGCAGTCCATTCAGTCGAGGAATCAGATAGTTTTCGAGTCAGCGGAAACTCATGATAACCCATTAGTTAGGGTAGCTGTTGATTATACTATAGACGACCCCTTCCGATACAGAAGGCCCCGTTGCTCGATTGAGTGAAGACCCCACGACGTCTGTCAAAATGAACAGTTTGTTCATCAAATACTCCAGTCAGAAAGGGGTACACAAGGCCAGGACGGCATAGAGATCATTGATCTTTATGTCGTCACCAAAAAATACCTTCAGTTATGAACCACTCGTCCTCTTGACGAAAGACAGTTGAAATGGTAAGGGAAAAAATTTCCAACCTGAAAAAAATGAAGATGACATATGCAGTCATTGTTCACTGACGTTCTGGCACTGAATCTGGTTATTATTACGCCTTGGTCGAAGACGAAACGGACTGGTTTAAGTTTGACGATAGTCGTGTCACTAAGTGTTCTGGCGATGCACTGAATTCAGTGGAGCCTCTGGAGACCCCCTATATCTTGTTTTATGAGAGAGAGGATATTGGCTGATCAAGTTTTTCAGATGATGTGGGGCTGCAGGTTTTTCCGGGTTTTTCTTGCAGCTAAAGAAGCAAATGCGCCACTGGAATCAATGAAGTCGCCCCGGAGCGACAATTAATTTTTGTTGTTGTTTTATAATTTCATGATTTGTATTTTAGAATTATTAAAAGTTTTTTATTCATATACACTGAACAATAATGATTTTGATATTCTGGCAGTATACTAAACATGGCTAAGACCTAATTGTGATGTGTCTATGTTACAAATACCTTCTCACAAATTAATTCATGTAGATAGAGATTCTGGAGGTGAAGATGTGGGACTTTTCCTCAAGAAATAATTTCGTTTTGAAATCTTGATTAGCGAAATACATAATGATATTAAACAATTGTGGATTGAAATTGAATACATCTCATCTGTTCATATGATTGGTGTTATACAGGGTGTAAGTATGCCCGCTCGATCCCTGGATCTCAATTCTCTCGATTTCTCTATTTGGGGCCATTTACAGCATTTGGTTTATCGTACTCCTGTTCGCGATGTAGAGAACTTAAGAAACCGCATCATCTATGCGTCAGGGTAATCAGAGAGACTCCAGGAATATTTGAGCGAATACGCATGCGTAATATCTGAAGGAAGACATGTTGAGTATTTACTTTGATTTCTACATGTTGTGTGTTTTGTTAATAATAAATTAGTTTTGTTCATTACCCTTTAATCGTTTAATGCAGGTACTAACTACAGAATAACAATAAATCCAGTTCGCATTTATGACGATGTATCTCTGTAGTTGTTCCTAAAATAATATTTTGCTGCGAACTGGTTCATTTTTGACAAAAAACCCAGGAGACATTTTTTGTTAAGAATGAAATAGGCTATCGGAAATAAATTTTCAAATGGGAAACAAATAATGAGACAAAAAGTTACATTGGAAATAAATTTTAGGGGTTGCGTTTTCACCCCTCACAACCATGGGGTAAACCAAATAAATTGCTGGCTAAGTGCTTTTTGGTAGTACAAAACGTCAGGTTAATTTCAATATTGTAACTTTTTCAGTGCTTGTGAAAAAAATTGTTATACAAATTTTATGTCCCCCTTTTAAGGGGCTGTATCTTAACAAGGGATGGTCCAATGAAGTTTGTTTATATGAAAGATCCTTTTTTTTCGATGAGGAATCACCTCCTCAAATGTGTTACACTTATTCAGTTACACCCTGTTTATAGGCCTCCGAACACAAATATTTCTGACTTGAAGAGAGCCTAATCATAGTCGCACCGCATTCAGACAATATAATTTGCATGTGAGATTTCAATATTAACAGGTTAGACATTACAGATAGATACTATATCCATTTCAAATACATTTCAGATACTCACGAATTGAAACAAACTATAAATTCGCCAACAAGAGTAACACAATCATCATGTTCTCTGTTGGACTACTTTATCGTTTACGTTAAATTTAGTTGGTCTAATTGTGGCACAATGGACTCTCATCATGTTTCTGATCATTTTCTAGTTCATTGTCATGCGCCTGAAATAATTGTGAAACACAACCTTGTTACGCGGACTCTCCGAAACTTTAAAAATTTCAACTATGTTCATTTTACTAATGAGTTAGAATCAATACGCTGCGATCCCACGTATTTTTCAGAAAACATTGAAAAAAAAATTTTTTTTTGTTTTCAAATCCACACGATGTTCAATAATCATGCGCCATATGTCACAAGAAAGATTTATGGTTCGGGTAATAGGTTGACCAAAATCTGGAACAATTTTACAGTAATAATGCGAATGATTCCATCACGTCACTTCTTGAATTGACATTGATCACCAAAAATGAATTGTTAACCTTCAAGTCAAAAATCAAAAGAAACAGATGATCTTGACAATTTCCTTTTGAACTTTTGCTGTCCATCTATATTACCCGTTAGTTCACATATTATAAACTCTTGTTTGGGGAAAATAGTTTTCCCAAGTATGTGGTACCAATACCCAAAATCAAAGAACCTAAGGAATTCAAATACTTGCGTCCTATGAGTCTCCCTTCACATTTTTCTAAAATTCTGGATATAGCTATTGCTCAACAATTGAGAAACCACCTTCACAACAATAATGTAATTCCAATTATGCAATCTGGTTCTAGACCAAACTATAGCTGTGCTACAGCTTTAATGAACATAATGATCATATTAGATAATATCGTCACAGCATCGAATGAAGACGAAATTACTGTCCTAATATTGGTCGACTTCAACAAAGCTTTTGATACCTTGAATCATCAACTATTTCGATCTATATAACTTCATAATGGACTTTCTCATATCTTTTACATAGACAACCAATTTTTAGAGTAGAGAACCACATATCAGATTTCAAGAAAACTTTCTTATGTGTCCCACAGGATTCAATTCTTGGATCTATCCTCTACATAATTTACACATTCCATCTGACA